TGTGCATCTGTTACATGCCTGGTACTGCTTTGGACTCTGAGGATGCAGAGGTGACCAAGACAGATCATGTCCTTGACCGCATAAATTTTGTAGAGCTTAATGATTTAAAATTTCTAAGAAGAACTATAAAGTCAAATAAAACCAACACCTGAACTAACTGCAAGGCAAATTCAAAAAAAAAAAAAAGAAAAGCTTTGAGAATTGACTAGACTTACCCTTAAAAGTCCAAGATAGTGACTGAGATACAAGCTTGGTCATGGCATACACATCAAAGTCAAGGAGACAGGCACAAGAATCAAATTTATGACAGGAGGACAACTGAGTTGCAAAACATGTCTTCAAACAAATATTCACCATGCTATCCAGTTAAGGTTCTGAAAACCCTGGGTAACACATTCTACCTACAGGAAAAACAAGGTTCAAATTCAAGGTTTTCTAATAGTTAATTAAAAGGAGGCAAGAGAGTAACCACAAGAGAACAGAGAGAGAGGGAGGGATTGAAATTAAGATTGAGATTCTGTCTGTCATTGGACAAAAACAAGCAGCCATCACCAAAAAGTGTACAAACAGTAAATGCTGGACAAGGTGTGGAGAAAAGGGAACCCTCTTACACTGTCGGTGGGAATGTAAATTGGTATAGCCACTATGGAGAACAGTATGGAGGTTCCTTAAAAAACTAAAAATAGAACTACCATATGACCCAGCAATCCCACTACTGGGCATATTCCCAGAGAAAACCATACTTCGAAAAGATACATGCACCCCAATGTTCACTGCAGCACTATTTACAATAGCCAAGACATGGAAGCAACCCAAGTGCCATGAAAAGATAAATGAATAAAGAAGATGTGGCATATATATATACACACACACACACACACATATATATATACACACACACATGTACACACAATGGAATACTAATCAGCCATAAAAAAGAATGAAATTCCACCATTTGCAGCAACATGGATGGACCTAGAGAATATTATGCTTACTGAAATAAGTCAGACAGAGAAAGACAAATACTGTATGAAGTCACTTATATGTGGAATCTAGGAAATAATACAAATGAACGTATATGCAAAACAGAAATAGACTCACAGATATAGAAAACAAACTAGTGGTTACAAAAGGGGAGAGGAAGAAGGGAGGGGCAAACTAGGGGTATAGGATTAAGAGATACAAACTACTATGTATAAAATAGATAAGCAACAAGAATATATGTATAGCACAGGGAATTCTAGCCATTATCTTGTAATAACTCTTAATGGAGTATAATCTATAAAAATACTGAATCACCACGCTACATACCTGAAACTAATATAATATTGTAAATCAACTCTACTTAAATTAAAAAAAAAACTCAGTTTCAAAATTTCTGTCTTTAAAATATTCCAAAAGGCATGACAGATGCTGAAAGTGTGAACTCCTTTCAAATGCAATTATGTTGAATGCGCTTGGTACTGGTTGACTTGCTCCCAAGGCCCCATGTACTTTCAGTTGAAGCCCCATCCCATAGTGACTCCTAAATATTCAGTAAAGTATTTAGACACACACAGACAACTATGAGTGAGTGTTTTTCTAGAACTTGATGAATAAGTTCTATATTCAATGGTTTGCTAAAAAGGAGATAGCCCTAAAGGTTAAGGACTACAGAGGACAGACACGCACTAGGAGCAAGCTGTGAGAACTCACAGGTATCATGAAGACTGTCACATGCCAGAGAATTAGATTTTCACCTAAGTTAACCAGATACTCAAGGAGGAGGAATCCCCCAGATGACAGCATGGCTATTCTAATTTTGCCTCCTCCATTTCATTATCCATACAACTTCTGAGTGAGTTTTCTAAGACACAAATCTAAGCATGCCCTACCTATGATCAAGATTCTTCTATAATTTCCCATTGCCTACTGGATTAAAAAAAAAGAAGAAGAGGGGCTTCCCTGGTGGCGCAGTGGTTGAGAATCCATCTGCCAATGCAGGGGACACAGGTTTGATCCCTGGTCCGGGAAGATCCCACATGCCGTGGAGCAACTAAGCCCGCACGCCACAACTATGGAGCCTGTGCTCTAGAGTCCGTGAGCCACAACTACTGAGCCCGCACGCCGCAACTACTGAAGCCCGCGCGCCTAGAGCCCGTGCTCCGCAATGAGAAGCCACCGCAACGAGAAGCCCACACACTGCAATGAAGAGTAGCCCCTGCTCGCCGCAACTAGAGAAAGCCCGCGCACAGCAGCGAAGACCCAACACAGCCAAAAATAAATAAATAAAATAAATTTATAACAACAACAATAAAAGAAGATAAAAACCTTTGCAAAGCATTTAAGGCCTTCCCCAGCTTCTTGCAAAGTGCCTGGTGAGCAGTGGGTTCTCTAAACATGGAGCATGAGCATGGTTCCCTCTTTCTATCAGGCCCCAACTCAAAAATCACAGAACTTCTCAGAAAGGTCAACCCTGGCCATCTACTAGAATGCCAGCAAGCCCTCTCCCCCCAAATTTTCATAGCCCTCTTCTATACTTATTTTCTCTCCTCAGTTCTTTCAATATCTAACATATTATGTATTTTACTTATGTAACTTATTGTCTGTAACCCTCAGTAGGCATATATAAAACATCAACTATAAATATAATCTCTAGGTAGACAGGGATTTTTGACTTTTTAATTTGTCCACTACTATCTCCATCCTAGAACCGGGCATGGCACACAGCAAGTGCTTCATAAAATATATGTAGGATGGATGGGTGCGTGGATCATTAAAACCTCAACCCAAAAACCAGTTCTACCTGAAGCCTCCAGGAAGATTTAGATATTCCTGCTTCTCTCTCCTTCCCTGTATGTAACTTCTCTTATCATATTGTACTTCTTTGTATGTTGAGCTGAAAACTTCATTGAAATCAACGGCCTCACTTTCATTTGTATGTACTTAGAAGTGACTCCTTTGTGCTTGGTATATGATATGTCATTGAATAAATGAATGATTGATTATATCCTTATTTTAAAGATGAGGAAAATAAGGTTTAAAAAGGTTAAATAACTTTTAAGGACACACACTAATAAGTTGCAGAGGTAAGATACTAACCCAAATGTATGGCAAGCCATTCCTTTATTTTTCCTTGTCACTACTACCATATCTCCCTACAATGTTCTATCCTGTCCCACATTTTCTATTATTCATATTGTACCTATTACTAAGTCCCTGTTCAAATCAAATCCCACCTATTAAATGAAATCTTCCAGATGACTCTTATTCACAGTAATTTCTCCTTTTTTTTTTTTACCAGAAAGTTCCTGAGATAGCTCTCAGGGTAAATGGGGGAGGTTATAAGATAAGGTTTGTGGCCTTGGAGAACAGCTTATCCACTTGTGTTCCTCACTCCATATTCAGGCTCGGTGCAAAGGCCTACCTGTTTTGCAGGTAATGCACCCTCCATTGGTCCCCAACCTCAGGTAACAGTCTCTCATGATCTGCATATCTCTCTTAAGGACTTATGTGGCTGGTGATAGATGCAACTGTTTCCTTGGTTTGACTGAGCTGAGCTTCCAAGAGAAGCTGCAGAATGAAGCAACTCTGAATAATCCACATCACCACCCTGGGATTAGCACTCAGGATACATAAAGCTTTTCCCCTTCTCTCTCCGTCTCTGTTTCTATTGAAAGAAAGGGTTTCAACCTTTCCCAAATGTGACTCTTCCAAGGTTGCTTCATGAGAAGCAAAAGTTTATTTCCTATTAGCCATTTCCTCATGTTATCACATGGAAAATAGACTTTTCATTGGCCCAACTTCTCCCTTTTTAAATAGAGGCGCATATACCAACATCAGAAATAACAATTTTTGTTATCAATGGTCCTTGAAAAGTAATGTATAAAGATACTTACAGTTGAAAAAATATGCTTGTTACTTGTTCTCATTTTCTCACCTCAAGCTGAGACATATACACTCAGAACCTGCAAAAACCACAATAAATTCTTCTCTAATGTCTTCTGTACTTAAAATCTTCAGTACATACCCAAGCATCTTATTCAGTAATAATATGCCACCCTAGTTTGTAACTGCACTAAACATTTAACCCTTAATTGTGTCTACATAAAATGTTGAGATATCCACAATCTGAGAAGCAGTAGTGAATTAAAAGTGCAGCAGGACTACCTGTGTTCAGATCCCACCTCCATCATTTATCAGCTGTGCGAGGTTAAGTTCCTTAACGTCTCAGTCTCACTTTCCTCATTTTAAAATGGTATCCTATCACTTCATAAAGTTGTTATATTTAATTTGAAAATAGTAATTAATAAATGATAGCTATATGGGCGTTTATTATGCACCAGGCACTATGTTGAGCACTTTACATCCATTTCATCTAACAGAGAAATCTGAAGAAACTCAGAAGCTGAGCACAGGGCTTTGTACATTGTAGACAACTAAAATATACTGAAGGAATGAAGCTCAAAGAAGCTAAGAAGGTCCGGGGCTATCAGGATATTGGCAGAGCTGTGAGTGGAGCCCAGGTATGCCTGACCGCAAAGCCCATGTCCCTGACCCCTGCGCTATATTCTGACAACGTTCAGAGTGCCCAGGACAGGGCTGGCACAGAAAGGCCCTGATCCATGGCGTTTTGTTTACCATGGGCCCTCTGACATTAGAGAGGACTAGAAGAGTGGTCTTTGAACGCGGGCTCACCAGTTTCCAGCAGGGCCTTGAGCCCACTGGTCAGGGATACGTGGTTTTCCTAGCCGAGGACTGAGGTGAGATGGAAAATGCACCCTTCTTCACTCCTCTATTCTCTTCCCCCCACAATTGCAGGGCCGGGTGAGCGGCCCGGGGGACGCACTTCTGGAGACCCATTTTCCTCTGAGACTCGCAAGCTAGCCGAAGCGACTGCGGCCCTGGGTTGGAGGGAGCCTGTTTCCAGTCGGACCGCATCCGGCGGCGCTTCCGAGCTCCGCGCCTGCGCACTCAGCCCGTCGCCGCGCCGGCCCTGAGGACGTGTGCACGCTGCCTTCGCGGCTCCTGGGCCTTGAGATGCGCGGCTCGCGGGCCCGTGCCAGCTCCAGGTGCGTGAGGAGGATTTCAAGAACCCAGGTGTGAGGTGGAGCGACCCCCCGGGAAAGGTGGGGCCTGCCTCGGTCCCTCCAAGGTGCCCGGGGTCCCAGAACGGGGGCGCCACGACCTCAGCTCCTTTGCTTTTCCCACTTCCCCGCCGTCTGACTGCAGCTCATGGGGAGCGGGAATCTCTGAGAGGAATTGCAAAAAAACGATACTTTCCCCCGCAGTGGGTCGTATCACATGTGGCATTCCCCCCCCACCTCTGTGGCCAAAGCAGTTTTCACCCTTGCCTTGCCTTTCCTGGTGTGGGATTTTGCAGTCTCTGAACTCTGGCTCGACTCCTAGGTGCTTACTGGTTGTGGGCAATTAGGGCGAGGGCCAGTCGTCAGGGTCTGTGTCCTGTGCAATCCCTCTGAGAGGAAGAGGTGAGGGTTCAAGGTCAAGAGCGGGGGCCGGGGGAAGTGGAGCAGAGAAGCTACAGAGAGGGAAAGTCTGTGATAAATGTCGCCAGAGGTTATTCCGTAACTGAAAGTTCTCTAACTTTCTCTCAGTTCTTGTGTTTCTTGTTCATTTACTTTTGTGATATCCTCACCTCGTTTTAATGGTGTTTGTTAAGACTGGAAAACCAACAGGCTTTCGGCCTTGAAGTATCGTTGGAATTTTTGAGATCGGTTTTCACAGTTTTACAACGGAGTGTATCTTGCTGTTGTCAGGATAATCTTGGGGTTGACCCATTGAGATTTACCATCTTTTATTTTCACTTTAACATAGGAAAAATTACACGCTGTTGGATTTGTTTTTGAAATATGACTGACGAAAAAGGTCATTTGAGAACACAGAGAAATCAGTAGAAGTGGGATTTGGAGTTCTATCAAATTACTGTGCATATGCTTAAGTACGCATGGGACTGCATTTGGAGCTTGGGGATCCCTTAGCTGTCACTTATAAATAGCAGATGAGATCACTGCTTGCCACCAGTGATTCTAACAATATAGGGCTTCCAGTAAGTGCTTTCCCACATGGTGTGGACGCAATTGACAATAGTATCCGGTCTTAGTGCTAGTGTTAGTTGATAAGCCATAGTCTCTTTTTGGCACAGTAACTATAGGTAGTCAATTCCTGTTATAATCAGAAATGGTTGTCATGTGTGTGGTTCTAGTGTGGGATTTTTTTCAAGTGTTCCAAAGAAACTATTAAAGGAAAGAAGAAATACACAATAGGAGCTGAGGACCCTGGCTACAGGCCAGAATCCTATGTGTGATCTTTCAGGCCCGACCATAGACAATTGCGTGGCTTTGCCTGGCTGGCCTCTTCGGGGGAAGCTGCTCTTGCCACACCAGACTTGTGCATGGCCAGTGCACTGCAGTTTTCTGGAGGGAGTTGCAGTCAAGGACTCACCCCTTCCCTCCCAGTAGCCTTGCTCATGCTGTATTGCGTTCCTGGCTCAGGTACTTCCATTCTGAGGGCCTTGGCTGAGGTACTTCCCAGGTGCCTCCACCAATACCTCCTTATTGCAAAAGGAGGGAAGGTGGAGGGGGCAGCCTTGACTGAGGTACTTTTCTCCATTTTGACTCAGGACCATTCCACTTGTAGCTCTTCCTTCCTCCTCCCCTGGCCCACAGGTCCATAAAGAGACAGAAACCTTTTGTTCCAGCCTCCTTTGCAGAGAGATGATTGTGTGCATGATTGCATCCACCTAACCCTCACCTACTGTTCCATTTAATCGACCACTGGGGAACCAGTACTTTTTTAGCCTCTTGCTTGCACTGTCCCAGTAAGTGAATAAAGACTTGATTATTACTTGAAGTTTGGCTCATTGTCCTAATTGACACCTCAACACCTGATTTTGCCTGACGGGAATTAAATAAATTGCCAAGTTCTTGGCAATTCACTTAATTTTAATCCTCGTAACTGCTGCTGTGTTAGCATTTTAGGGATTTGGAGGCCATTCACCTGTAATTTCTCTAACTCAGTGTTGTGAAAGTGCATAGTAATAGCATCAACAGCTGATTGTTGCTAATGTGGATATCTGGGTTATATGGTGTATTTTATAAATTAATATAGTGGCTTGCAGTCAGATTATTTATTTGTGTGGCATATTACCTTTGGCCTCTAATTAGATTTTTCTGATAAATATTTTGGGGTTATATGGGTCAGTTGAAGAAAATTAATAATCCTTAGTAATCCTGTCTCATCCTATGGGCCCCAGTCTTACTTAATAGATTACTCGCCACTTTGAATAAAGTGATTGATTTGTTGTAGGTTCCTCTGTCTAGTGTGTAAAGAGGTATGCCAGGAACAGGTTTCACAGGTTTTTACCTCCTCCTATAGAAGTTTCACAAAACAGTATTTATCCTTACCATATGTTATGCAATCTGATATTTTCTACTCTATTAAACAAAAATGTTGATCATGACCCACCAAAGTGATTGCACAATCCACTAATGGGTAATGACATGCAGTTTGAAAACCACTATGATAAAACAACTAGAAGATAATTTGCTCAATAAATGATTTTTTTTTTCTGTTTTTAAATCAGATTCCTGAAGAGAACCACAGTGGGTGTGTTTGTGACTTTGTGTTTAAGGTGTCTTCTGGGAGAAAATAGATAGTAGCACACAGCATATATGTTGGATATTCACTAAATCATCTGACAAAAGAACACTGAGTTTCTGGTAGATTTATCAACTCTCTGATCTCAACTAGAAGATACAACATTAGAGAGCTGGCACAGCTTTTTTTAATCTCTGGCTTCCTTATTTAAGGAAAATGCAGTAGAAGAAGTGGGATGAGAAGAAAATTGGCTTTTCAGTTAGGAGCAGACAGGGTATAAAATGGTTGTGAAAGTTCCTGGTAAGCTTTTGCATGTGTCAAACAGAGGTATATTAGGGAAAATATCTTTATCTTTATATTAACTGAGACCAAAATGACCTTTTTATTCTACTGCCTGAAAAGTAAACTACACTCAGACTTTCAATTACTTAGCCATAGATAAGTATATAAGTAGCCAGTGTGTCAACCTCATTGCCTCTGTACTTGTCTTTTAGGACTTCTACAACAAAGTGGAAAGGAGCAATAAAAAGAACTGTATGTTTAGTGTGTTTATCTCTTAGTTAGAAACCCTAAAAATGATATTAAGTAGATAAGGATAAAGTTTTTAAATCTGATTAGTGTTGAGCTAAATGATACCTTACATTTATACATTGCTTCAGTTTTCCAATACATTTAGGTGCATTATCTCCCTTGATTCTCACAGCAACTCAATGTGGTAGGGAGGCCAGGAGGCATTTTCCCTGATTTAGAGATGAGGAATCTATATTTCCTTCTTGCCACCAAGTTCATATGATGGACTAGAATCCAGGTTTTCTGGGACATTTTCTCCCAGTTGTTTATGTTATCTTTGTTGGTCCAAAGAAGTAACTGAGAGTAAAAATTGCTAATGATGTGGCTAAGAATTTTGATAACTTTCTCAGATCATGTCCAAGGTGTGCTATAATTGAATGCAGATATGTCTTAATTTTATTATTATATTTTATTTCTTACACTCTTTATCTTTCTAGCCCAATTTTTGAAAAATGACAAATCTACTTAATAGTGGACTAGGAAATTTGGAATTACAAGATTTATTTAATGTTAAGAAATTCAACTCAGTCCCCTTTTAATGTATCATCTCAATTAATTAGAAATATAGCTTAAAATTATATACATTTTTAAGGATTTCTTTTAAAGACTTCTCATTTCTCTGTATAAGTGAAATTAGTTTAATGATTCTAAAGTATCTAAGCAGGCCTCTCACTGTTGTGGCCTCTCCCGTTGCGGAGCACAGGCTCCGGACATGCAGGCTCAGTGGCCATGGCTCACGGGCCCAGCCTCTCTGCAGCATGTGGGATCCTCCTGGACCGGGGCACGAACCCGTGTCCCCTGCATCGGTAGGTGGACTCTCAACCACTGCACCACCAGGGAAGCCCTAACTTACTTTTAAACACAGGAAAAGTTGAGGTTCCCTATTGCCTTTAATACCTTTAGCCAAAGAACAGGTTAAATTATTTCTTTTCATATGAATAAGTAATTTTTAATTAATACATTTTTATTTTTAATTTTTAGACATCTGTGGAGTGTAAGAACACTATGGAGCTCATCAGAGTATATCACTGAAGAATATGATGGCTGAAAACAATTTTAAAATGCTAAAGATTCAACAGTGTGTAGTCGCCAACAAACTACCTAGAAACAGGCCATATATTTGCAATATTTGCTTCAAGCATTTTGAAACACCCTCAAAATTAGCTAGGCATTATCTCATTCATACTGGTCAAAAGCCATTTGAATGTGATGTGTGTCACAAAACATTTAGACAACTAGTTCATCTGGAAAGACATCAACTAACTCATAATCTGCCTTTTAAATGTAGTATTTGTCCACGCCACTTTAAGAATCTGAAGACATTCGTGAAGCACCAACAGCTTCACAATGAAACTTACCAGAATGATGTTAAACAGGTCAGAAGACTGCTGGAGGCCAAGCAAGAAAAGCCAGTGTATGGAATGTATCATGCTCTTACCACAGAGGAGAGATGGGCATTATACCCGTGCTCCAAGTCTGATCCTACACACAGCCCTACAAAGAAAAAAAAGAATATTCACGCGTGTACAATCTGTGGCAAGCTGTTCCCGTCACAGTCAAAACTTGATAGGCATGCACTTATTCATACTGGTCAGAGGCCTTTTAAATGTGTCCTGTGCAGTAAATCTTTTCGACAGTCAACTCACTTAAAAATCCACCAACTCACACATTCAGAGGAAAGACCTTTTCAATGTTGTTTTTGTCAAAAAGGATTTAAGATTCAAAGCAAACTGCTGAAGCATAAACAAATCCATGCCAGGAATAAGACTTTTCAGACTCTTTCATTAAAGGTGAAGAGTCCAGAATCAGGCCCCCTGCCTAATAAATTAAATGCAAAGCAGGATAGTTTTGAAAATGGTGATATACATGAATCTGAGGAGAATAATCAACTTGATGTCCACTCTATTTATATTGTCCCTTTTCAATGTCCAGAGTGTGAAGAATGTTTTGAATCGGAGCAGATTCTCAATGGACACAAGTGTTTTCCTGCCAGAAGTGGCAAAGTTCCAAGCCGGCTCAAAAGAAGCTACAACTATAAAACCATTGTTAAAAAAATCTTGGCTAAGCTTAAACGAGCTGGGGGTAAAAAATTAGATAATTTTCGATCTGAGAAAAAAGTATTTAAAAACAGTTTCTTGAAAAATTGTGAACTTATTTCTGGTGAGCAGAGCCCTGAACAAACCCAGAGAACATTTATGGGTTCTCTTGGCAAGCATGGAACATATAAGACAGTTGGCAATAAAAAGAAGAAAACGTTGACTTTGCCATTTTCTTGGCAAAAGCACTTCCAGAGTCAAAATATGGGAAAAAACGTAAAAGGTATTCTTACACCAGAGAACATGTTAACTATGGATAATTCTGTGAATAATAAAGATGTATCTATCTATGGTTCATCAGGTGAGGAATTCTTTGAAAACTGTGAAGTGCTTCAGTGTGGTTTTTCAGTTACAAATGAAAACATCTATACTGGACATAAGATGTGTCCTTGTGACAAATGTGAGAAAGTGTTTCCTTCCGTATCTAAACTACAAAGACACTATTTAATTCATACTGGACAGAGGCCTTTTGGCTGTAATGTTTGTGGGAAATCTTTTAGACAGTCAGCTCACCTGAAAAGACATAAATTAACTCATATTGATAAGATTCCATATAGAAAATCTCTTTGCCAAGTAGAATTGGAAAATTTGAACAAACTTTTCATTCATCAAGGTGATAATGTTAACTATAGTGCTTCCCAGCAATGTCAGACTCTTGGTTTTCAAAAATACGAGGTCTCAGAGTCAGATCAAACATCAGAAATAAAAGTTAAGGCAGAATCAGAGGATTTCATTCTTGGTACCCGCTATAGGAACAGGCAGCCCTGTCTCTCTACTGCACTTCTGGAATCAGAGCAGAGCCATCATAGTCATTGTTGTAGTTATTCAGGGCGTACTGAGAGGAATGATGGCCTTCTTTACCAATGCAGTGTTTGTTCTAAAAGTTTTAGATCCCCATCTAAACTGGAAAGACATTATCTAATTCATGCAGGGCAGAAGCCATTCGAATGCTCAGTTTGTGGCAAAACATTCAGACAGGCTCCTCACTGGAAGAGACATCAACTTACTCACTTTAAGGAATGACCACAAGAGAAAATGGTTGTCTTAAATTCAGTTATGTAATTGACAGACCCACTAACACATGTGTGGTCTTTCTGGTGACCTTGCTCTTTAGCCTATATCATTTACAATGTATTTTTATCAAAAGGCCTGCATTTGAATGATTTCATAGGCAGTTGCTTGTCCACATAGTCAGAGGTAAGATACATAGAAATATAATATGTTTTAGGAACAGCCAAATTAATTTTTAGGGGGAAGAACATGATTTGATGCCATAAAGCAAGTATTTGTTTTATTTTAACATACACTTTGGCTGTATTGAAAATGTTGTAAATCCATGATGTAGTACAAATAATTCAGCCTCATTTTTAAAGGAATTATTCCTTAAGACATGCCATCTCCTTTTGTATATGCTCAAAAGACTGAGAGGCAAAAATTGGTTTTTGGCCACTACAGATAGCCCCACTATATTATTTCATGTATTTTACACCTATGGTTCAAATTCCATTGCAGAATTTTTTCTTGTAAGCTAAAAAATATAAAGGCAATAAAAGTGAAAGTGGATGAGAAAATAATAGCATTATTTTCATTGTTCTTTTCCAAGCTGTTTATTCTTAGGACTCCGGTAGCTTACCCTCCTATTCTATAGGTGATTTGAATTGTTTTTTTGCCCAGCCTGCTGTTATCTTTACCCCCAAAATGTAAAAGTAGGAGAGAGGCTAGGATGCACCTGTATACATTTACCATGTTTACTTATCAGGAATAATGTTCAAGTGCCATAATCTTTTTGATGATATATATGCAGTGCCATCTTTTCAGAGGAATGAATGCAATTCATCTACATGCTTATTAATGATGGATAGCAGTAGTTGTAGACTTAAGACTCACCTGTAGATCTGCATCTCCAAAAGACTTTTACATTTACCTTAGCAAAACTTTCTTTTAATACCTCTTTGAGTGGTCCTATGACTAAACTAAATATTCTATTAAGTTTGATCAAACGGCAGTGACTAGCTCTAGTTCTAATTTTTATTCCTGTTTTTTTGCAAGATTCTAATGCTAAAGAATGTTATTTTGATCATTAGTAAATTGTTATTTTAATTAGTAAGGTAATCCCGTATAGGAATAAGATGCTTATGGAATTGAGAGTATCATTCTAAACAGTACTGTCATGATTTGGGGAATATTTAATCAAACTGTAAAAGGCTTGTAATCACACATTGTCCTTCACATTTGCCATTTTTAATAAAATCTTTAAGAATGACATTTCCTAGCAATAAGAGAAAATAACCATTATCTTTCTAAGGTGAAAAGAACAGGTGGGTATTTATCCTAGCACTCTCAGATATATGTAGTGACAAGCCCTCTACTGAGAATGGGTAAAGGAACAATTTTACATTGTACTGTAATAATTGTCTTTGTGGGGGGGGAGGGGGGAGGAGAAGTCAGTCTGCTTTTACAAGTGAATTTTGAGAAACTTGGGTTTAATTCATAGAGATTTATCTGTACTTTTAACAGTACAGATAAAAGCCCAACAATGTACAAATGTGCAGGAGAATCGTGTTTTAAAGAATAATTTCTCTTATGTTTCCTTGAGATCTGTTCCTCCAGTGCAAACAAGGTGATGTTTTATAAAATTTGCTTTACACAGAACTTTTTAAGAACACATCTATTACATAAAAGCAAGGGATAACTAGTTCATGTTTTCCAAGAATAAAGGTTCAAGGGTTTTTTTTTCTTTAATATGTCTGAAATTATATATTTGGGAATTTTCCTAAGCTATTTATGTAATTTTATTTGAAGTAAATGTCTCATATACTCCTTTCCCAACCCTAACAGGAGAATCCTAACAGTGTTGTGCTTGTATGATTATTAGACTTTATTTGCCTAAGTGATACTGCTATACATTTTTTTTTTTTTGGCCCATGCCTTTTTAAGCTGTTTCATATTGAAAGTTGGAATATTGTAAAAATTCTGTCAAAGAGGTACTGTAGTGCTATTTGAAGTACCTGTAACGAAATACTTACTTACTTTTATCATCACTACAAGCTGTGGAAACTTTACAGGAATGAAAATAAACTGTATACATCCATGATAAGAAGTTTAAACATTAGATGTTAAGTGATGACTTGCTGCATGCTAGAACTGTTATTATTGTTGAATCAATTGCTTTGGTTTTCTGAAAAGAATAAACTTTTAAATACCTGTAAAGAAAATTAGAAGAATTTTTGTGTGGGCAATTCCAGGCTGTAGCATGATTATTTACTGAAGTAGTTTGATTGAGTTAGTGAAATTATTGTCTCTTGTTTTGTACTGCAATAGGGCCTATTAGGACAAAATGTGTGTTGAAGGAAAGCAGATGGTGATTCTCGAAAAATTCAAATTTTAGAATATTTTAAAAATAAAGTTTCAAATTACACAGTTTGATCTTTTTTAAAAGGGAAAATCACATAATACAGGAACAAGGTACTGATTGCCAAACACTTTCTTGAGCCCACTCCAGTCTACCTTCTACCTTCTGAGCTTTCTACATGGATAGTTAATCGTTTACTTCCTTGTTCATGTTAAGTTTCTTTGATAGCTCCTTATAACCTACAAATGGATATGTTAACTCCATTGCATGTCACATGATCTATCTGCTTATCCATTTATCTTCCGCCTTGGCCTCCCTGTCCAGATTTGTACTAAAGAAACATAAAATTAGTTCCTCCAATACATGTTATTCCCGCTTCCATCTTATCTATGTAGTATTAATTTAAATTAGATACAAACTCATACTGTATTCAAAGAAGAGATTTAGTTGAGCCAGGTTTTATTTGTTTCTAGTCCATGATTATGGAAGAAAACTAAAGTGTTTAATTTGCAGAAAACAGATTTCAATTTACGTTATGTGAGATAACCAATGAGAATTATAGACATTTTTAAGGGATAGCACCAGTGTTTGAAGTCTGCATATCTTATAAGAATCCTTTGTTAGAAGTGAATTGTCAAGGGCTGTTTCATGCAGAATATCTGCTCTTTAGAAGCAGTGAAAGGAAACATTTAATTCCTTTCTTGTTGAGATTTCTCCTATTGCCAGTTAGAAGGGCTTAGAATTTCAGGGCTAACTGCTAGAATTCTATTAGCACTATTCTATTAGAGAACAAAACTTTATTAGAGGAAAAAATAACTGAAAAAGAAAAGTGGTACAATGGTATTATTAAACAATATGGAACACGTAATACTTTGCATCTATGTCGGCTAACTTCTATTCGTTCTTTGAAGTTTAAGCTTAAACACTGCTTCCTCTGGAAGCCTTTTTGATTTACCCTAGCACTCTATTCCCTGTGCTCCCACTGCTTTTTGTTCATAACTCTATTAATCGTCACTGCTGACTAGTGGTTTTCAAACTTTAGTGTGCACTAGAATCATCTAGAGGGCTTGTTAAAAGCATAGATTGCTGAGCTACACCCTCAGAGTTTCTGATTTAATATTTGGAGTTGGGCCTGAAAAATTGCATTTATACAGGTTAGCTGTTATTGCTATATTGAAGCTATACTTTGAGAACCATTGAGCTAAACTACATTTTTCTGGAAAGCAAGAGAATGCATAATTTTATGTTTTATACATAAAGTATAAAGCAGTATTTGTAATGTTTTTACCTCCTCAAATATATACTGAATGTATAAAGGAAGAAATGAATGAAGTCATTATTACAAACTCTTCTCTGTAAATCTATAATTTCATTTAGAGCCTTTCATTCATTCTTGGAATAAGTTTGCCTTCTAAGATGTTGAGATCAAAGCCAATCCAAAACTTTCTAAACCTCCCCCCTCTTCACTCAAAAATGTTTATCTTTACTCCTTACTTTTCTCATGTATCTCAGAATAATAATGTTCTTCCACTTTTCTGAAGCTAGCTTTTCCTTGCTCTCCTTCTGGGAGCTTCATCATTAGTGCCTTCTTTTTTCTGGTGTTTTTAGATTTTCCTTCTCATTGGTTCCTTAAAGAAAATTTCATGTGTTCCTTATTCAGTTATGATGATTTTGGCTGCAAGTAGCAGAATGCCTGACTCAAACTGCTTCTTGCATTGGGGACCTTATTGGCTTATACGACTTGAAGTCCAGCAACTAGATAAACCCTAGGGTTGTTAAATCATATAGTTGCCTCTGGTTCCTTCCATCTGTTCTGCCTTTCACAATGACAAAGTTATTTTCCTTATGGTTTTAGGATGCTTTGTTTGCAGTTAGGGCTGCATGCTTCCTTCATGGGGGGAGGGTGGGACAGTGAGTGAATGAGAGACCCAGAAACTCCCCCAAGAACAAAGTTTCCTAGAAGTCTACAGTGAACATTTCCTCTCTCACCTGCCAGAATTGCTTCACAGCCACATTCCTGAACCAACCACTGACAAAGGAGATAGAATTATGTGGAGCTGGACCTAGACCTCAGCCTACTTCCTTCAAGCACAAGGTTGCCTGAAGATAATACAAATACTGGTCAAATTTGAAGCTGCATTTGGAAAGAAGGGAGGAATGGATAGGCAATCAAAATTTCCACTGCACCAAGCTTAAAAAGAGATAGCAGTTGGGCCAAATAACTTTAGTTTTACCTATTATTTTGGTTACTGTTATATTTTACTCTTTGCCTTTTAGGGTCAGAGATATTGAAAATTCATTACACCTACTTCCTCCATTGCCTGTTCGTTCATTAGCTTCTAAGCCCTTTTTTACGTAGTGTTTTCCTCACCACCTCTTGGGAGCTGTTCTATCGATGATCATTGTAGTAGGCATTGTTAGTTGCAACCACATCTTCTCTCTTTCACTGTATATCAGCCAGGTATTCTGGGTAGGACTGATCTTAACTGCAGCTCCAGCAATGGTCATGATCAGTCTAACTCTATCAGGATATTCATCATGACTTAAAGGGATGGGTAACCCAAGACTAAGCCAGTCAATGCACAGTGCTACCTTAGCCAGAGTAATTGGCCTGGAAGAACTGACCTAAGTTGATCTGATCTGAGTGAAACCTTGTACTTATTTCAGTGATTGAGGGAGAAGAACTGAGTGTGAAAAAGTTTTCTCCGTT